CTTCGTGGTACCTTTAACACCCACCCTGTCAGTCTTCATTCTCAGCTGTCTTCCATCCCCAACCCATCACTATATGCTCTACCAGGAATTTTTCTTCAGCCATGTCTGTTTACTAAAGCCTTACATGCTATTTAAGGTGAGAGCTCTGGTGGTCTAGTTGTAAAGAGTTGTGCTGCCAACTCAAAGGCAAGTGGTTCAAGTCTAACAGCCACCCCATGGGAGACAAATTGAACAGTCTCCTCCTATATGAACTACAGACTCTGAAAACCCCTGGAGGGTCTGCTGTGGGTCAGTTCTGACTCGACGGCACCTAGCAATAATAGCTCAGATATCACCACTTCTGTGGAGTCTTTCCACATCTGTTGGTTTAAATGATCTCTTCTGAGACTTTATTCCTTTTTTATAATATTTATTACAGCATATTCCATATCAGTCTTGCTCATGCATGAGTGTGACTCAAAATACTCTGTATCTCTAGTCTCTAGAGGGAAGGCTTATGTTTTAGCTTCATGGGACAGCTTATAGGGGAATATTGTGCAAGAGAGGAAGACCGTTGATGAGATGGATTGATTCAGTGATTGGAGTCATGGGAGTAGGGGTGTCAGAGACAGTGAGGTTGGCACAGGATAGAGCAAGGCTTAGGGCTCTTGTACATAGGGTCACTATGAGTCACAAATGACTTGATGGCACATAACAATAACAGCAACAACACGAATGTGTTTTACTCTGTCTCACATACTTTGGGCACATGGCTAGGAGGGGACCAGTGCTTGGAGAAGGATACCATGCTCGGAAGAGTGGAGGGACAGCGCAGGAGAGGAAGACCCCAGTTGAGATGGACTGATACAGTAACTGGGGAACGGGGATAGATGTGTCAGAATCAGTGAGGCTCACTCAGAATAGAGCAGGGTTCAGAGCTGTTGTACATAGGGTCACTATGAGTTGCAGGTGACTAGCACACAACAACAATAACAATAATAACAATTACAATTACATGAATGAATTAAAATCCTAAACACTTAAAGAGTTGTGACCTTCTCACTCATTGCAGTTGAGACCAACTTGAGGGCACATGACAACAATAACAATATAAACCACCTGGGAGGAGATTGTCTTGAATTGTTCTCTCTCTTCCTCTTTTGGGTCCTGCTGGATTTGAGTTGACCTTTGGGTTAGCCACGCAGTGTCTTCAAAGCTAAGGTCCTTATCTGTTAAATACGTTAAATACCATTGCTGTACCTATCTGATGGAATATACCTTTAGTAAGATCTAAAGTAACTTGGATGCTTTGGCTGCCCCCAGGAAACAGGCACCTTTAGAAGCAGGAACAAAGCAGACACTCAATAAAATCTCTGGTGACATCAGTGCATATATGAGTTGTTTACAAAATGGAAGTCACAAAGTCTGTCGTCATATCTCATGTGACACTATTTAAATAATGTATGCACATTCTTTGTTCTTGCTTCCTCATATTAAGTTCTGTTAAAACAACTTTATACAAACTTCATTTCTCTCTCTCTCTCTCTTAGTACTCTGTGAATTATTAGGGAGCTCTATGGTTTTCCATATGGTTTCCAGTATGGAAAAACCATACAACTCCTTAATAATTCACAAAGTAAAAAATAAAATGATGTTGATAGCACATAACAACAGTAACAATAACAACAACAACATAATTTTGCAAGTCAATTATTATATATTCCGACTTTGTCCTTAAAACCATCACCCTTACTTACTGATATGAACATTGTCTCATAGGCTCTGCTATGTGGAGACAGCATGATAAAAGAAGAAAATACTTAGAAAACAGGCCTCTAGCCCAGACTTTCACTCATGGATGTTCACATTGAATTAATCAGGCTTTTTCAGCCTTTGCTGGTATTCTTTATTGTGGGGACTATTACTGGAGCAATAGAGGTAGGTGTGTCAGAATCAGTGAGACTGGCTCAGGACAGGGCAGGCTTCAGGGCTGCTATGCATATGGTCACTATAGGTCACAAGCGACTTGATGGCACATAACAACAACAACAATGACAACATCTTGTGTATTGTAAGATTTCTGGTTGCTTCCCTACTCTTGACTCTGCAGATGGTAGTATCTTCATGATAAAGATGTCTCAAGGCATTGTGAAATGTCCCCTGCAAGTAAAATCACCCTTTCGTAAGAACCACTGGATTGGGTCTTTCACAATTTTAATCCCAGGTCTATAGGTTGAGGTCTTACTCAATACTCTATTATACACTTACACACACACACACACACACACACACACACACACACACACACACATGCTACTGTTATATGTACAGCCTGATTCTCCTTTTGAAGACTGAGGATTCTGTTTCCTCAGAGCCTCACAGCCAGGCATTCTCTCACAGGCCCCCACTCGGCACTCACTCACAACAGAAGCTGTGGAGCAGGGCTGTTCGGGTGACATGCTGCGATTCCAGTGTGTTATAGCTCCCCACTGGGATCGCTGAACAATTGCCTCCACCCCCTGCTTGCCACTCAGGTGGGCTCTGGCAGACAGTTTTGGCAGCTGTAGCTGTTAACAGCTCTGCATTCAACATGTACGGCTTTGTTTTAGTCTCTGAACAAAACTTCAGGCCACAGCTTCTGCCAGCCCACTCCTCTGTTCACGTGACTCTCTCCTTTGCCCCTGACAGCTGGGGCTTGCAGTGCCAAACAGATTTTTGTAGAACCTCGTAATAAAATAGGCAACAGAGAGAAATATCCAATAAAGCAAGGAATTTACATCCATCCATTTCCCTCTATAATCCCCCTCCTCGTTCTTAGCTTTACTCTCTTAGGTGGAAGGGTAGACACCTATCACTTCATCATGTTCATGTGTGGTTTGACACTTAACAACATGTTTTGAGAATCGTGCCATGCCTTGTTTAAATGATTGATGTGGGAATGTAAGAACTAGAGAAAGGCCTTCACTGTCCAGAGCCACACAATGACCAAGATGAAAAGCAAAGTCTTTTAAAAGGTTCTTGACCTCTTCATAGTCCAGGGAACGAGACAGATACACAAATGTAAATATAATAAAATATAATAAGTACTAGCATACAGTTATATAAAACCAACAAATAGATCTAAGAGAAAGGATCAACTTTCTGATCCTTTTACCTTTATTTTAATCCCAATATTTTTAGTGAAATAGAAAAGGGAATGACCTTTGAGGACAGCTTCTCAAGTGGCTGTCAAATGATAAACAGAACATAGATATATTGGGTACAATGTGAGCAAAGATAATTCCTAAAGAAAAGTTGGTACCACCAGTCATCATCACCATTATCGTTGTTAACATTTATGCCATTTTTTGAGCACTTGCTAATGCCACACTCCTAGTGAAACATTTGACATAAGTTATAGCATTTAATTCTCAACTAATAATCCTTAATGTAAGTGCTGTTATTAACTACACTTTTATAGATCAGGAAACTGAGACTCAGAGAAGTAAAATAAATTGCTTGGAATAATGCTGTTGCTAACTAATGGAACCTAGATTCAGGGTTGATTTTAACTATAGAGGAAAATACCTATATAAACTCTTAGAATAAGTTGTTTTAGGATATTGAGATGATGAAAACAAAACTTTCTAATTTTCTAACTTCTAGATTTAGCCTTGTGATTTCTCTTCTCCCTGGAACCCTGGTGGCAAGAACCTGTGCTACAGTCCCAAAGGCACATGGTTTGAGTCAACCAGCTGCCCCAGAGGAGAAAGATGGGCAGTCTTCTCCTGTGCGATTTACTGCGTCTGAAAACCTACTGGAGGGTCAGCTATGGGCCTGTTCCAGCTCAATGGTACACATAACATAACTCATCCAAGAGAAGTCCTCGTCTCTCTTAGTCTCAAGGGTTCTCCCCAGCAGCATCAGTTGGCTTACGTTTGTTGTGATTGTTGGTAAGTGCCGTCAAGTCAATTTCCAACTCCTAGCCACTCCTAGATGATAGCTGTCCCATAGGGTTATCCAGGCTGTAGGTTTATGGGAGCAGATTGTCAGCTCGTTCTCTTGTGGAGTAGCTGGATGAGTTCAAACTGCCAGTCATTCCGTTAGCAACTGTGATGGCTTCACCATTGCATCATTCAGGCTCCTTTATATGCTAACACTCTAAGAAAGAGGCTGGCAAGATTTTATATAGTCCCTTGGCCTTTGTTCAGCCTCTCATCAAACACCAGAGAGCCAAAATTTCTGTACCCCAGCAGGTGAATTCTGGTTTTATGCTGCTTTGGAATGGTAGGGTCAGGGAGCATTGCATCAGTGGACTCTAATACAATGGACTCTAATACCCTATACAAACTCTTCTTCTAGTGAATGTTTAACGCAGATAGTCATGTACTCATAAAACATTGTGTTATAATGCAAAACAGAGCTGTTATTCTGTAGGTGTGTGTGTGTGTGTATGTGTGTGTGTGTGTGTGTGTGTGTGTGTGTGTGAGAGAGAGAGAGAGAGAGAGAGAGAGAGAGAGAGAAAGAATAAAAGGAGAGAGAGAAAAGAATTCTTTTTTTACTGAGTCCTGGTGATAAGAGGCAGGTTGTTTATGAAGACAGTAAGTGGAACAGACATGTGAGCTTTGTCACCACATGGCTTACTAGCCACATGAAGTTGTTCTATCTTCATTCAGCACATGGGCTTTAAATGCATACAGTGTGCCTAGTGCTGACATATTGGCACTTAAACCCATCTTTTGTTTTACAAAGGAGAAAACTAAGTCCCTAAGAAGTTAGCAGTTTGTACACATTCACAAAACATGTGAACAGCAAAGCAGGAAAGTGAGCCCAGATCTCCTTGGGTTTTGTGTGCTTAACAGAAACTGTACTGCTTTTTATAAATACGGAAGCAGCCTACTGATGTATTACTTGTGTTAATTAAATTTTTGTTTTGTTTTTCTCTCTCTTCTTTTTTGCTTTTTACTTCTTCTTCCTCACCCTCACTTTCTTCTTCACCCCACCCACACCCCTTTCTCTCGATCTTACTTTTTTCTGCATAGGACTCCACAGAATGGAGCAAGAATGAGAGGAAAAAGGCCGGAAGAAAAGCATGAACTGGAGGTTTGTTGAGCTCCTCTACTTCCTGTTTGTATGGGGCCGTATCTCAGTGCAGCCCTCCCACCAGGAACCAGCTGGGACAGACCAACATGTCTCCAAGGAATTTGATTGGCTTATTTCAGACAGGGGGCCTTTCCACCACTCCAGGAGCTACCTATCCTTTGTGGAAAGACACCGTCAAGGATTTACAACCAGATATAAAATATACAGGTAAGAGCTGAGCTTAACCAGTCTTACTTTTCCCTTATGTTGTTTCATGGGATAGGTCATTGGAATGGTCTTTTCTGTGGTGTGGTATATCTAATCCAAGGCGTGATACTCTTGTACAGAATGTTGCCTTTGCACTTTTTCTTTATAAAAGAGATTAACAGTGACAGAGGTACAATTGAATAGCTGGTATTTATTGAGTGTTAACTGTGTGCTGAGTGGTTTACTTAGAGTTTAGATGTTATTTCGCTGGATCCTTAATAACCATCAGGAACAGCTCGTGTCTGTTTTCTCCATTTTGCAGTCGAGGTGACTGAGCCTCAGCAAGGTTAAATTACTTCTTTAACTGAAGTGACACATTCACTCACTAGTAGAGCTGCAATCCAAATACTGTATCATCTACATCCATTGTTGTAATCTTTTTCCTCATTTATATTAGCTGTAGGTAGGTCATTAGCAAATGGTACTTTCCAAACCTGTTGTATATTTAAGAACAGATAAGAACACTTGAGCTACCTGGGGTTGAACAAATCTGAACTGATTCCTCACCTTCTTCAACCCTGCTTCTTAATTCATTCAGTTCCAACCCAAAGCTCTTGTTTGAAACTATCTTGGAATTCCTCTTTATCTACTCACCCCAACTCCTTGAAATCCCCACCACTCTCTGTATTTATTATTGTTAGTGACCATTGAGTTGGTTCCAACTTCTAGTGATTCTATGCAAAACACAATGAAACACTGCAGAATCCTCAGAGTAATTGCTACGTTTGTGCTCGTAGTTGTAGCCACCGGGCCCGCCTATCCCCTTGAATGTATTCCTCTTTTTCACCGACTCTCTGTTTTACTAAATATTGTTCATGTTCTTGAGGGACTGGTCTCTCCTGGTAACGTGCCCAAAGTACAAGAGACAAAGTCACCATATTTGTTTTTAAGGATCATTCTGGCTATACTTCGTCCTGGACAGATTTGTTTGCCTTTCTGGCTACTCTTTGTCTCCAAATAGATTCCAACTCATTGAAACACTTCGTCGAGTTTTCAGTACTGTAAATAGTCAAGGAAGGATGTCCATCTTTCTTCCAAGGAGCAGCTGGTGGATTCAAAAATACTGATCTTTCAGTTAGCCGTGCAATTGTAATACACCACCAATATGGCATTTAATATCATTTGCCAATGTTATGACTCAAAGATACCAATTCTTCTTTAGTTTTCCTTATTAATTGTCCAGATTTCTCATACCTGAGATTTATTTGAAAAGACTAGGATTTAGGTTAGGTATACCTTTCTCCTAAAAGTGACATCTATGCTATTGAATTCTTAAAGAGATAATTTGCAACTGATTTGCCCAGTGCAGATTGTGCTGTTTGGTTTCATGGTTGTTCCTTCCATGAGTGTGAATTGTGGACCCATGGAAAATGAAATCCTTGACAGCTTCACTGCTCAAAGGTATTGATTATTCTTCTGTCATCCTTAGTCATTGTCCAGCTTCCAGATGCATAGCTAATAATTGTGAAAACCGTGGCTTGGATTAAGCACACCTTAGTCTCTAGACTGACATCGTTGCTTCTCAGTATTCTGGAGATATCCATGACAGAAGATTTTCCTAATGCAATCGTCTTTTGATTTTCTGACTGCTGTTGCTAAAAGTGTTGATTGTGGAGCCGAGCAGGCTATAATTGTTAACAACCTCAATCTCTTTGCTATCTATTATGGTGCTACCAATTGGCCCAGTGGTGAGAATCTTTGTCTTCTTGATGTTGAATTTCAGTTCATATTGAAAACTACAATTCTTGACCTTCTGCAGCAAGCACTTCACGTGCTCTTCAGTTTCAGCCAGCAAGGTTGTATCATCTGTTTAATGTGGGTTGTTGATGAATTTTCCTCCAATCCTGATAGCACATTCCTCCTCATAAAGCTTCCTGAATGATCTGTTCTGCGTATAGATTGAAAAGGAATGGAGACAGGATTCATCCCTGATGCACTCTTTTCCTGATTTTGAACCACGTAGTGTTTCCCTGCTCTGTTCTTGGACTGATTCCTGGTCCAAGTATAGGTCTTGCTTAAGTACTATAAGGTTCTGGGATTTGCATTTTTCTCAATTATTAGCCACAATTTATTGTGATCCACACAGTCAAGTGCCTTTGCATAGTCAATGAAACACAGATAGACATTCCTCTGGTACTCTTTGCTTTCAGCCAAGATCCATCTGACATTGGCAATAATGTCTCTAGTCCGATGGCCTCTTCTAAACCCAGCTTGTATTTTTGGTAGTTTTCTGTCAATGTAATATTCCAGTCTTTTCTGGATTATCTTCAGCAGGATTTTGCTAGTGTGTGGTATTAGTGATATTGTTCGATAATTTCCACATTCTGTTGTGTCATCTTTTTTTTGGAATGGAAATAAATATAAATCTCTTCAGTAAGTTGGCCAGGTAATTGTCCAAATTTCTTGGAAAAAGCTGTTATCAAGGATCCTCCAGAATACTGAAGAGCATGATGTCAGTCTAGAGACTAAGGTGCGTCTGATCCAAGCCATGGTTTTTGCAAGTACTTGCTATGAATCAGCGAGGCAGAACAATGACTGAGGATGACAGAGGAGAAGAATCGATGCCTTTGAGATACTGCTGCTCTTTTTCACTTACCACTCTTCAGTTTGAGTCTATTTGGCATTAGAATATTCTCTTTTATTTCTTTTTTTATTTAAATGAAAGATCTTTGAGGACAAGACTTACAGATAGTTCATTTCTGGACCTCCAAGTTGATTTTCTTGCTGCCTTGTAATTGTAAGCAGGCTATAAATGTTTGTGGAATTGGAGAATACAAAATTAAAATCCAATGAACAAAAACTCTCCAGAGATGAACTGCTTTTAAATTTAGAAAGGGTGATCAGATACTGACGTTTCTGGGTCAATTATAATAGAAGAACCAGCTAGTATATAAAGAAAAAGATTCTTGGTTGTAACTGAAAAGTTACCAATTCAAATCTTAATTTTTCATATATTTAATTTGAAAAATAGGCACATCTCCTTTGCACAATCTATGAGATGGAATAATTGGGTTTGGTGCTCCATAAAATCTCTACCAGATGCACATTCCTGTGATTATACTCTGAGTATTTAAAATCCTACTTGGAAAGGTGACTTGCTAGTGATTATCAGGTTTTCTGATGGCTCCCAATGCAAAAATTAATGAATGAACTTTATATGAGTATTAGAAAATAGAACTAATTAGAAATATTAAGTAGAAGTTCTTCTGGGCATAATGAAAAGTGAAAACAAAAAAGGTGGATAAGTACACGGTATCAAAGAAAGGTAAGACAACACAAGGATGAGAAATAGGAAATATTTTTTTTCTCTTAGAGGAGAGTATCAGAATTTATAAAAAAGAAATAATTGATTCTCAGGGCTTCCCTTAGGGAAAATATTCCTATATCCATCAAGAATACTAGTTATCTACTAGAAAAATCTGCTGTCAGAGACCTCTTAAACAATGATGTCAGTCTAGAGACTAAGATGTGCCTGATCCAAGCCATGATCTTGGCAGTTCCTTGCTATGTATCAGAAAGCTGGACAGTGGCGAGCTCTGGTGGTCTAGTGGCAAGAAGCTGCGCTGCAATCTCAGAGGTACACGGTTCGAATCCACCAGATGCTCTGCTGGAGAAGGAGGAACAATCTCCTCCTGTATCAGTCAGATCTGATTTGACGGTACACATGAAAAAGTAATGAAATAAAATAAAAATTTAAAAAAAAAAAGAAAGCTGGACAGTGACTAAGGATGACAGAAGAAGAATCAATGCCTTTGAGTTGTGGTGCTGGAGAAGAATCTTGAACATCCCATGGATTACCAAGAAAGCAAATAAGTCTCTCCTGGAGAGGGTGAAACCAGGTTTCTCTTGGAGTCTAGGATTTTGAAGCTCCATCTTAAATACTTTGAGCATGTCGCCAGGCGGGACAAGTCCTTGGAGAAGAACACCATGCTCAGAAGGGTGGAGGGACAGCACAGGAGAGGAAGACCCTGGATGAAATGGATTGATACAGTAGGTGGGGTAAGGGGGGTAGGTGTGTGGGAGTCAGTGAGACTGGCTCAGGATAGGGTAGGCTTCAGAGCTGTTGTGCTAGGATTGCTGAGTCACAAGTGACTCAATGGTACCTAACAACAACAACAACAACAAACTTCCTAGAAGAACACAACCATTACTACTTGTATAGATGTATAAGCATAAGTGTTTATACTGATTGAGTACTTGACAGAATTCACTGTAACTGAACTTGTGCTTTTAAGGAAGTTGCAGGCTTGAGACATTGGATGAAGGGGGTCAGAATTTTCAGGATCTCCTAGTCTTGTTTTGCTGGTTTTGTGTTGTTGATTGCCTTCGAGTAGAGCACGACTCATAGTGACCCTGTGAACAAAAGATCTGAAGCCTTTCTATAACTATTGACATTTATCAAAGTTCATAGAGTTTCCAGAGGCATGTTGTTTAGGAAGTGGATGCTACTCCTGTTTCCAAACCTGTCTTCAGTTGGCTGTTTTGTCAAATTCTAGCTCCTTGCTATTGTGATATATGGCTTTCTTCTTTATTGCTTCATTTGAGCCTTCTAAGTTTACTTTGAAGGAAGTGTGGTCGCTTAGTGGTTAAGTGCTTGGCTGCTAGAAAAAAGGACAGTTATTCAAACGTACCAGCTATTCCATTGAATATACATAAGGCTTCTATAGACTTACATCCAAGTAGATATATGTATATCCATGTTTATCGCGGCTTTGTTTACAATAGCAAGGAGTTGGAAACAACCTAAATGCCCATCAACAAACGAATGGGTAGAGAAGCTGTGGTATAT